ATTTCCTACAGATATTCCAACCCAGAAAGCTCCCGTGTGTCGACCGCCGGTGAGCCCGATTGTCGTTCCCTCGATGACCCGGGCCACCAATGGTATTGTTCCCCCCCCCCATCTTGTGGAACTTCCTCTAACACCCAAGGAGAATGGCCATCGCCAGGCCGCTGTGGAACCCAATCTTGAAAGCTTTCTCCCAGCGTCGGTGTGACTGCCAGAAATTGCCATGAACCATGGCGCACAAGCAGAATCGCCACTCTCACACTCTGTCTAAGGCTAGGGGATTTAGGGAAGAAAGGAGGGGTGAGACTCACTGGCCTCCCTACCCCCTGCTTAAATAAGCACCCTAAGGATGGTGGTAGGGGAATGGGTGGATGGCATTAAAAACGCACTCGGGCATCGAGAGGGTTCCACAAAGTAAAAGCATGGGAAATAGCATGGTTTGAGTTCCTAGGCACCACTATCCTTATCTTTTATAGGATTCAATGACACGCATGCGGTGCGTTCAAACGGGTGGGTGACTCCCACCTAAAGGAATCCCGAAACTCGGGAAGGCATTACTGCCAGTCAGTGCAACACGCACAGTCGTCCTGATACTTGGGACCTTGTAACTGTATTCAAGCGTCTCGGCACCCGAGAAGTGTTCATCGGTACCTACGGCACCCGAACGTTATAGGGACTCATGGCACCCGAAGGATGGTATAGCTCTACGAGCCCGTCATTAAATCTTGCGGGGGCTACTATTAGAGATATGGGCCCGAGGTACCCTCACCGACCATATATCTGGTCCATCAATGGAGGACGACCGAGGAGGAAGCCTGCGAGGACTAGGCGCAACTACCAACTTGGAGATCATGACATATCAAGGATATCTACCGCCATCATAGCTATGGTAGGATAGAATTGATTTGTTGTAACCAACTAGGAATCCAATCTGTTGCGCCGATCACATAAATTAAGAGCCTAGCAATCTGAGATAATGATACAGAAGTCGGTGTATCCAGTAGCCGGACGCATAGTGGCAGCGAGGCTATAGATCCAATGCATGGACAACCTGGAAGTATTACCGAGTAATAGGAAGCAATGGCCAGAGCCTATTGTATGCTCTCATAAGCGAGTAGCAGGAACCAACAGCCGAAGCCATTGTATGCTCTCATAGGCAAGTAGCAGGAACCAATGCCTAGAGCCATTGTATGCTCTCATAGGCGAGTAGCAGGAACCAACGGCCGGAGCCATTGTATGCTCTCATAGCAGAGTAGCAGGAACCAACGGCCGGAGCCGTTGTATGCTCTCATAGGTGAGTAGTAGGAACCAACAGCCAGAGCCATTGTATGCTCTCATAAGCGAGTAGCAGGAACCAATGGCTGGAGCCATTGTATGCTCTCATAAGCGAGTAGCAGGAACCAACAACAGGAGCCATTGTATGCTCTCATAAGCGAGTAGCAGGAACTATGCAAATTCTTCCAATGTCCAAACCCAAATTAAAGTAGCCTTTGTTTTCCACTTGGTCGTCGTCGTGAGCTCCATTCTTTGATAAAATTATTATCCCAGTCCTTCACAATTTTTTAGCTCTTTGGTTAAAATTTTTGATCATCTTGTACGTTCTTACGAATCATAATTGCCTTTTTTGTACTAAAATATTTTCCTATTCATCACAATATTGTTGGGTTCTTAATTTATTGTAAAAAATCATGAAGCAAGTTTGCATATAAGGTTAAGAACTTTGTGTTGTACTTTGATCAGTATGATTCACTTTGCTGGCAATATGTGGGAAGACATTGTGGTCAATCCAATTGAGTCACTACCCAAAGTGTTGAGTCCTAGAAAGGTGCCTGCTGGAATACATGTTGATGAGGGAACAAAATACTGTGATAATGAGGGCAGTTCAGATGTGGACTTTGTTGACAGTGACTATGAACTTGATGATGGGATGATGACCTATTTTATGACAGTGTTGATGATGGGGTGGTTGATGAGGGTGTAGGCGAGGGCATGGTACTCAGCAAAGGGAAGAATAGAAATGCACAATCTGGCAAAGGGAAGGAGGGAACAGATAGGGAATGGGATGAGTTGACCTCTGATGAAGATGAGTTGGAGTTACCATATTCTGACGAAGAGGATATACAACAAAGACTACGACAACAACAATGCAAACAACTCCAATTCTCCCTAAGACTACCACCAATTTGCCCTAGGACTACCTCAACATCATCATTGAAAACAGGCAGCCCATTCTTTGTGCCATCAACTGCTCCCTCCAAGCCTCCAACTTCTGAAGACAGCCCAGGCACAGGTTGCTCGGTCTCCACTCTGGTGACTTGAATCACTCCCTTTTCAATGAGCATTCTCTCATACTTGTCGGCAAACAAGTACCACAAGCAAGTACCTCGCACCTGCAAGAGGGATTTGGAACTACATTACATGATAGCTACAGGCAAGTACCACGAACTGAACTATGAACTTACATCTCTGTCATGGAGGCGACACTTGAAGAAGATGGCCCCAGGGACCTTAGATCCCGGCGCAACGATGAGCTCTAAGATCACCTCGCCGCAGTTCGGGCGTGGCACCAGCGGCAGCCTAGTGCGCGACCTGTGTTTGAGAGGGATGAGTTTCCAGACACCCCTGACGACCCGGGCTAGAAGATGAGCTACCAAGTGACATTGACGCATGCATGGCCACTAGCGAAGGTGGGACACGACAAGCTCGACCTCATGGTTTGGCGGTTGACCTAGAGGGGAGGCGGCCACGGCTCAACACTGGAGCTGAGAGAGATTAAGGCCGTAGACGACGGGCGAGAGAGAGAGAGAGAGAGGAGAGAGGCGGCGGGGGGGGGGGGAGGGGGTTATCGCAAAAAGGGAAATGGGCCGGCGTCCAACGTCCACAGTGGCAAGTCCATGTCGTTCGCTGGCGCGTGCATGGCTAGTTTTGGACCGTTGATGGCAGGGAAAGATAGATCCAGGACCCCGATGTTACATATTTAATTAGAGGACCCGGATGGGAATTGCCCAAAAGTTTAAGAACTTATGATGCAATTTACACAAAAATTAATATTGAATTGGACCACCCTAGATTAAAATCCTGGCTACGCCACTGATGGCCACTCCTCGACGCCTCCTACCGCATCGTCGTTGCCTCTACCACGTCGTCGTGCCATCCGCACCTCCTGCTGCCACCATTGTGTTGTCACTGCCCTCCGCACTGCCCACTGCCATGTCTGACCGTTTGAGGGAAATTTTGTTCAAGTTTGCTCAGATTTTATTCAAATTCATAGTGCATACAGGTCCAAAATTTCCGAGTCCCCCACACCAGGGAGAGCAGTGACCTTAGCAAACTAAAGAAGTAATTATATTAAAACTCAGCACAGTACACCCTAGATTACACATGAAAAATTTGAAATAAATAAAGTATAATAATCTATCCAGATTCCTCCATCATCTTCTTCCCTTGTGTCTTTCCTCGAGTGATGTTCTAGATGAACAGAGCCTTGTTGAACACCGAAGCTAGAATGCAATCCATATGCCAAATGCAACAATCAACTCCAAAACATTAGAAAAGTCACAAGATCCAACGTTCTGGAACCAATCAAAAATGCATCTAAATCGATGAAAAATATTGGCGGATGCATCGTTGGGCACAGCATAGGACGCACATTCATCACCTTTAATCCTTGATTTCCTCTCCATGACCATCGACTGTGAGATTGACGATCCGGAGTAACTGTCGTTGTAGGGAGTGCTCAGAGGTACCTCTCCCCTTGCAAATAATGGCCACAAACTGGCTGCCTGCCGATGAAATCGACGCATGCAATGGTAACCTCGTCGTTGCAATGACTGTAGTCCTCACAGGTAATAAGATCCCGACCGAAAATCATCTAATTTCACGGATAGATTTATTTCAGCTAAAACCGAAAGCAAACTATGTGGGGTGACACCTGGCCTCCCGCCCTTGATACCGAGTAGGAGGGGGAAGGACGAGGGTTTCCACAGGGAGAAAGCAAAGCAAGGCGATGTTCAAGACCAGACGACGCGAGGAGTGAAATAAATTGTGGAGTAAATGCCCATTAAAATGTTGAAGGACTTGTCCGGAACAGTCCCACCCACGGGGTATTTATAAGGCATACGGCATACCTGGTGGCAAGGGGAAATTACAAAAGGGTCAAGCGATTCTCCTTAGTGCCATACAAATAATCGAGTGCATGGTGGTAACTTCTCTCCCCCATGCCAGGTGCTTTGACCAAGGTGCTTCCGGTCGTCGTTCCCTAGACACCCTCCCCCCCTTGGCTACCGATCGGAACCTTCGTCATGCAGGCCAACTGAGACCGGGTCGGAACCCGAGCCGGTTGGTCTCCTTTGCGCCTCTTACTCCCCCCTCTTTGACCATCTTTCCTAAAAGAAACAAGAGATCGGATGTTTGCGAATGACCGAGGGTTAGACGGGGCAGCGTTCCGGGAGTGCATCCCCCAATAAACTGCATCTAAAAACTACAAATGAGAGAGATGGGCGGTCCCCTCTCCTTACCACTGGGAAACGCACTGGGGGCCCTAGGCGGCACCGACGGCGATGGCGAGGGGCAAGGGCTAGCCGTGGTGGCCTATTTAAAGTCACATATTCACACTGATTTATAACTTTGAAATTTTGATTTTTATAGACAGAGCTTACCGATCAGATAGCTAAGACAAACATAATAAACATGTAGAGGGTACGGTGTTTATTTTGACGACGGGATTTGTATTGAAATCTGAATCCCTACCATATTTAAGTAACATGTATAGCCCTTTAGTTGGCGCAGACCAAATTTCTACAGCGTCGGTTGATCTCTCTGATTGGAAGTGAATTATTGCTTCATTCATGCTCAAGACACCCGTTCTTTCAGCGCCAAATGTGCGAATAAGCGAAGGCCACGAGTGTAACCACCGCCGCGTACCTACTATCATGTTCAGACACCCGCCGGGCCACCTCCTCTCTCTCTCTCTCTCTCTCTCTCCCTAGCTCATGCGCACAGCCATGTCTAGACGCTTCCAGCTGGTCCCCGTCCTCATCTGCCTGACGATCACCGTGCTGATCAGCTTCAGCAGAACGGCGTCGGCGGACACGCCGGACTGCCCATACCCGTGCCTGCCGCCGCCATCCGCTGGAGGAGCCATCAACAGCTACCCGCCACCGCAACCGTTCACAGGAGGCGGCGGCTTCGGCGGGAGCTATCCGCCACCTCCGCCAGGGAGCTACCAGCTGACCCCGCCGGGAGTGATGCCGGGCTTCTCCCCACCGTACAGTGGAGGATTCCCCTCTGGGCCAGCCCCGCCGCCGCCCAACCCGGTCCTCCCGTGGTTCCCCTGGTACTACCAGCACACCAACCCGATCACGGGGTCGACGACGTCGGCGTCCTCACCGGCCATGGACGGCAGGTCGACGGTCACAGTCGCGGTGCTGCTCCCTCTGTCCTTGCTCGTTATTCTTCCTGTGCTGTAGAGAGTGTACCTACCGGTAGGCGAGTTAATTGATCACTGGGCTAATTATCGTGTTTTATTTTGCTATTTTATTTGTACTAAGTGCTAGCTTTGTTTATACCGAGTTATATATATATATATATATATATATATATATATATATATATATATATATATATATATATATATATATATATATATATATATATATAATACACATTACTTAATAAGTTTGTGAAGTAGTTTTTTTTTCTATAATTTATTTTGTCTGTGTACCCTCACATGAACACATGAATATCCTTCTTCTACTTGTATTTCTGAGCAAAGTTTTACATGGTTGTCTGGTTGTCACATTCAGATTTTAGAGCACACAAGCTAGTATATGTTTTTTTCTACTCCCTCTCTCCTAAAAAAATTGTACTTTGTTACTAAGTTTAAAATAATATATCAATGTTTGTCTCCAAATAAATTTACAATAAAAGTAAATTATATGATTAATTTAATAATGCTTATTTGGTACAATAAGTATTAATTAGGATTTTTATAGATTTGATTAAACTTAAAATTTGTTGAATTAATGGGAAGCGAAAAGTGCAATATTTTTGGGATAGAGGGAGTAGTGTCAAACCATAAATTACTGTTCAGGTTTCTAAGTATGAGAATACTATAATTAATGGAGCGATTTTATGTTTTTTATAGAAAAAGTTCGTTTGCTGCTCGATTTGGTTCCTTGACTACTAAGCAAGAAATTCGTGGACAGAAGAAGCCGTTCTTCATGTTCCTAATTACTTTTCAGCTGTCTAGCATAGTATGGACTACTTACACTTGCTGCAGCTTAGCTTTTGATCCATTTCGTTTGTTCAGACGTCAAAATCTAGCCATTAATAGTCATGTAGGACAGCATCAGCTGCATATAATTCATATCTGGGCCCGCAATTTCCCATTTTGCGCGGTGCCTGTCTTTTTTAGCTGGGGTTTCATGAATAAACGCAGCTAGGCCCCGTTTGATTTGCTGAATTTTGACTGAAATTGACTGAAAAATATTATTTTGGCTGAAATGTTGTGAGAGAAAAACATTGTTTCGATTAAAAAAAAGAAGCTGAATAAGCTGGATATGGGGTAAGCCGAACGGGGAGTTTGTAGCTGAATAAAGTGATGCAACAAAAGGTCTCTACATACCTGCACCGACAACCGCAAATTTGAGTATGTATTTTCTCAACGTACGTAGTTATCACCGACAACACCTTTGTTCCTCTTCGAGGACGAAACCCCTAATAAGTTGTTGCTTATCCTTACTCCATGAAAGCAATAAACAGGAGACAAAAAATTCTGCATATAACTGCAGAAAAATGCCTTATTACATAGTGCCATCTATAATTGGCGAATGTCATGTGGAACACGCTACGTCGTTACCCCATCTCGACGTTACTTGTAACATAAGGGGAACTCCTCGCCAGTAGTGCGCCACCGTTTCTGGAAGATACAGCTAATCGCCGGACAGATGGTGGCGGTGGTCATCACTCTTCAGCCATCACACAGACGAAGTGACGCAGCCTCCACGGCTTTTTTTAGCTCGTTCTAAGTTAGAATAAACCTCCTGATGTCTTGTTTCAAAGAACAAAACATGAATTTATTCGCCAGGGCGGATCCTATGTTTATGGAATTCCACTGGAATAGAAGACAGGGGGACACTACCCCAGATCTAAATATCACTGTCGGTTCAAAAAACCCATTCACTACCGAATTTTGAATCGACAGTGGTATATCGGTAGTGATTGAGGGTTGACATCACTATCGATCCTTAAAAATCGACATGGATCTACAGGTAATAGTGTCAGTTTCTGACTTCATCAGGCAGTGTCCAGTTGAACAACACTGCCAATTTGTAGTCCAAACCGACATAGGCTATTGCTTCAAGAGTGTCGGTTCTTAGCTTAAGCCAGCAGTGTTAAGCAAGACTACACTGTCGGTTCATGGATCAAACCGGCAGTGTTGTCGTAACCATTACTGTCGTTTCATGGTTCAAGCCGGCAGTATTGAGCAAGCCAACACTGTCGGTTTGTTTCTAACCGACAGTGATGGTTGTGACAACACTGCCAGTTTGTTGCTAACTGGTAGTGATGGTTACGACAACATTACCAGTTTGTTGCTAACCGGCAGTGATTGCCCGTTCACATTTTATTGTTTTATAATTTATTTTAATTTATATTTTTTTGTGGAATCGGGTTTCGCTTTATATACGCTACGTAGACGACAGGTCCATCAATATTAAACATTACAAATGTTACGGTTATAGTTCAAATGTTCTTATCAAAATCTGGATCTCTCAAAATAAAAAAGAAATTATTCGATTAGATGAAGCATGCTTCTCAGACTTCTTACAATAATCTAGCGAGCCACTCTAGGCCATACTGGTCCTTGAACTTCACGGATTGTGCAATAGAAAATACTCTATCTTTTTTCAATACCTCGGCTAAGATGAATTTTGTCAGCTCCAATTGCAATGCGACGATCTCCATGTCTAACAACCTTTCGTGGTTATATTTCTTGCGTTGTCGTTCAAAAAAGATGATATCCAAAGAGGAATCAGTAAATTATTTTGTTGAATTATTAACAGACATAAATAAAATGGGGATTATACACACCAACTTATCTACTTCGTTCGATTTCCCGCCGATGTAGCGAAGCATTGCCCACATTACATAAAATCCGCATTCATTGTTTCCCGCCGAGTGTTTTAGGTACTTCCCCTCTATTTCGATAACCTTAAATGGGACCTGCGTCCCACCAATATGTCTTCTTCGGACACTGTGCAATATTAAAAGTAGAAACATTTGAAAGCGGTATGTGTGACTAGAAAATAATATGTTACTAGGATTGCTTACTAATTCAGCACTGCCACCAGTGCATCCAGATGATGAAATGGTTTTTTCTTCGAGTCCCACACCTCTATCAGATTTTTAGCAAGATTGACCCAATTGAAGACGAAATGGTTGCTGCAATCACAGAATCCTAATTATCGAATAATCTTAACAAAAAAATAAGCATAAAATTAAAAGCCGAGAACACATACTCGTAATTATAGGCTAGAAGTATGTGGGTTTTGTTCTTCATCTTGAATTAATCAAAAACAACAATCAATCTCTCTTTCAAGTCTTCCACGTCACATCCATGGAGACCTAAACATGTCTTCTCATTGACTCGGAAGGGGTTCAAAAAGCCTATGTTATCTCATTTCCTTTTTAGTATGCAAAATTTTGCTATACACCTACATAAAATCATGAGAATTGATCAAAAGTTAACGATTTATGTCTCAAAAGAGTAGTTAATTATAATATCATGCATGTAGGGTACTTACATAGTCCACGACGTGAACATTTGTGAATCAAGAAAGCGTTTCTGGTATAGCTGGAACAAGCACTCCTACTCGACATCGAACTTCTCTTATTCATGATAATGAAAAACATGTGGCGAACGGATAATAACCTCAAAACCAAAGTCCTCCGTCTCTGTTGCTTGAGCCATATAATATTCATGCAACTGGCGCATATATGTTGTCAAATTTTTATACTCGTCATCGGGAACCAAAAGATTGCCCCTTTCATACTTCATTGCTGGTGTTCCTGTCCCTTGTACATCATAATAGATGTTTGCGGCCTCTTCCATGGTTAATTCCGGGGTTGTCTTTCGACGTACTTCTATACCTTCCTTAAATCTTCATTGTGTATTTCATTGGCTCTTATTGTAGCGTACTGATTCTCTGTTTGCCTTTCGAATTCGGACTTCAACAAACATGGAGGTAGTAATGCACAAAGATTGAAGAAACTAACATAATCTTCTTTCGAGATGTGTGCTGTAAATTTTCCTTCCATCAAGTTTGTAACGCTGCCACTGAATGGCCTTTTTTCTTTTTTTGTTGGTCCACTTTGGGAGCATTAATGATCGAATTCAAGGACCTTTTCTGCGACTGCGAGGATACCTTTGATCTTGTTTTGGGCAGAGGTGGAGGAGGAGGATGACGACGACGACGAGAATTCTATTTTCCCGGGGCTGATGAAGATGGAGGAGTCTTCTCTTTTCTCGGGGCTGATGAAGATGGAGTCGGACAAGGAGGAATAGAAGGAGACCTCTATCTTCTCAGGGGTGATGGCAAGGGATGAGGAGGGGAGTGATCTCTATTGGGAGATGGTGAGTGATCATCGTGGGTGGGCGAAGACTCGAAGTCGTCCTCATCATCAGAGGACAATTGGTGGTCAAGCTTAATGAAGCGCTTGCACTAGGCTACTTGAGAGCCCTTGTTATGATCAAGTTTCGGCCTGTCTTCCGCTGCGGGGTACTCAATGTGTATCTTGTTATACTTCTTATCAAGTATTCTATCAACGATGACGCGAGCGTGCCCCTATAGAATTGGACAGTCATTAATGGTCCCGTCTCCCATAGGCCAGGCCGAGCCGAGCGCCACCTTTGTAACACCCTAGGTGTTAGCCTTGCATAATTTGACTTGCATTGAATGAGCATGAGCATCAAGCATTCATATTAAGCTTTTACATTTGAAACATGTGATTGAAACATATGAAACATGCTTGTTATTTTATGTTTCTTTGTATATATGCATATGATCATGAGTGAATACATGTAAATGGTTGATGTGAGTCACTAAAACATCATAGCTATACTTAGGATAACTAATGGAACATAGTTCATGAAGATCACTTAGCATGATCAAGTACTTAAGTGATGCTATGCATGTTGACCTGGAAAGCTTTATGTGTAACCAATGTATAAAATGATTGTGTGACCTTACAAATAGCTTAAACATGTTTAGAGTGTCATTATGAACAACTTTGGTATTCATGGCTAGGGCTAAATTGGTCACTAAGTCATAGTTCATGTATAAGTCATCTTTTGAATGTAATGGGTTTGACCAAGTTTGAACTACATGATAGAGACCTTGCATGGATGTGGTCACTAAAGAAAAGTTGTAGTATTTGATGAGAGGAACAACTTTTATTTTTGGGTTAT